GGACAGTACCTCAGCATCTTTCCACGCTTGGACAAGCCTGGGGGCTGGTTCCTAAGAGGTGACCCACGTTTGGGCCTTGGCTTCCTGTAGCGCAGGTCCGAGCCCTCCTGTTGGCCCCGGGTGGGAAAGGCTGTTGGTGAAGAAGCGCTTGGCCATGTCACTGCAGAATAGTGCTGTGGTCAACACAGGCGCTGATTCATCGTGACCCAACGCCAAGTTCTGTGTGGTGGCCTTGGCTAAGCCACCTGGCCCTCAAGTCTGTCAAGTGGTGGAGGTCAACATCTCCTGTATTTGATCACTGAGAAGATTTAGTAAAACTGTGTTTGTAGAGTGTCCGCGCACATGGTCAGACTTGGGGGTCCCCTTGTCCCTTTTGGGGTCACTTGCATTCTGGGTGATAGGTCATCAGAGTGGAACGCTGAACTCAGTGGGCCCCTTGTCCTACACAAGGATTTTGTCACGTGCCTTCCTGACCTGGTGCCACGTACTGGGCGGGACCGAAGTTGGGAGAACCTTACAGCGTCAACACGCTTCGTCTCCAGGGCAGCGCCAAGGAGCTGTCTCCTGCCACTTTGGAGAAGAGGCGGCGGCGGAAGCAGGAGCGGGACCGAAAGAAAAGGAAGCGTAAGGAGCTGAGAGCACAAGCGAAGGCGGCAAAGGCAGCTGAGGCCGCGGGGGCTGCCACGCCCCCCCCTGAGGCGCCCGTCGGAGAGGCGCAGGCTCAGCCAGCGCTGCTCTTCAATAAGGTGAGGGTCCCGGGTCAGCTGCGGGCACTGGGCTCCTGGCTCTGCCCCCACTTGGGCCCCTGGCGCGGCCACCCATCTGAGAAGTGGGGGCCGTAATGGTGCCTGTCCGCGGGGCTGGCGAGCGCAGAGCTAGAGGTGACGTGCGCTGCCTGTCTCCCTCTGAGGTGGAAGTGAGCGCAGAGGAGCCGGCCAGCAAGGCCCAGCGCAGGAAGGAGAAGCGGCGGAAGCTGAAGGGGAACCTGACGCCGCTGACGGGGAAGAACTACCGGCAGCTGCTGGAGCGGCTGCAGGCGCGGCAGAGCCAGCTGGAGGAGCTGCGCGCGCAGGACGCGGGCAAGGCCCGTGAGCTGGAGACCAAGACGCAGTGGACCAACGTGCTGTACAAGGCCGAGGGCGTGAAGATCCGCGACGACGAGCGCCTGCTGCAGGAGGCCCTGAAACGCAAGGAGAAGCGCCGGGCGCAGCGGCAGCGCCAGTGGGAGAAGCGCACGGCCCACGTGGTGGACAAGATGCAGCGGCGGCAGGACCAGCGGCGCCAGAACCTGCGCAAGAAGAAAGTGGCCAAGGTCGAGCGGCGCCTGGAGAAGGCCCGCAAGAAGGGCCGCATCCTGCCCCAGGACCTGGAGCGGGCCGGCCTGGCGTGACACCGCGGCTGGGCGCCCTTGCACCTGGGGCCGCGCCTCCATCGAGGCTTGAGGAGCGCCTCGCGTCATGTGACGTGGGAAGTCCCCAGTCTGTGCAGACTCCGGCTTCTCCATGTAAAGTGCACGCTGTCACACTCAGGCTTATTGAGAGGGCTCAGGTCATGCGTACAAAAGAGAACATTCTTGACAATGGGGGCCCCGATCTTTCAGACCCAGGGAAGGGGTGAATGAGAGCTGGGCTCTAGCATTCTCTTCAGAGGCTAGAAAGCTCCCCAGAAGTTTGCAGATGAGGGACAAAGGAGTGGTGTGAAGGCGTGGGGACTTGGGACAGCACTTCACTGGCACCTGCTTCCTCTCCCATATTCATTTACAGGAGCGGGAAGGGAATGGCCTTGGTGACTGCCCATGTCAGTCCGAAACTCACTTGGAAGGGATAAAAATCCAACACCTATAGATCGAGCCAAAGGTGGAGTTGATGGGCCCGGTCACTGGGAGAAAGTGGAGCCAACCTCAGGCATGATGAGAAATGAATTATTCTAAGAGTATTTGTAAGAAGGGTAAGAATTAGAATTTAAGTTAAACAAACACATTAAGAATTCTAAGATAACCACTAAAAGATAGAAACAGTGTATATTAAACTAAGAGGAAAAAAATGGAACAGGGTGGGATGATATCAATCTAGAAAGTAAGTGAGAAAATAAAAACAAGAACTAAGTGAGGTGAAGGGAAGATACACAGTAAGGTGGCAGAATTACACCCAAGCCTACAGGCAATCAAAGTGAATGCACATTGACAAAACTCAGATGGATTTTATGCTATGTGGGTTATATTTCAATAAAGCTGTTAATATTCTTTTGATTAAACTCCAGTGAAGAAACCTATAACTGCTCTAAAAAGAGTTACATTTATTAAACAGACTGATCTGAAAGCTTTCGTTGGGAAGTGCCACATGTTACTTCTAATATTTCACTGGGCAACACAAGTCACGTGGCTGCACCCAACTTCCAGCGGGCACATGCGGTCCTCCCCAGTGCCTGGAAGAGACTGCCAGGATGTTTCAAAGAACCCTGGTGCCTCCTGAGAAAATGCTGCCTGCCAACACGCTTGGTACAAATTTCTATATCAATCAGGGCTCTTGGCTGCAAGCTACAGATGTAGCTTCTGTGGATTTAAACAGAAAGGTGATTTATTAAAAGAATATTAGGGCACATCCAACTCCAAGATGTCAGAATAAAACGCATTTCCTCTATTCTTTCAGGAAGCATGAAAAGCCAACTAGGAAAATAAACTCTATCCTAGATGTAACTAGGAAGCATTTGATAGTCCAAACCATACAATAGGTGGACACAGTACAAAAACAGTAGATTGAGCAGGGAGCAAAATGAAATGAAGGGGTGTCCTTGCTTAGAGACCTCTAGGAGGATTGCTAAATCTCCTTCACTGAGGAGCAAATACAAAATCCTGTTCTAACAAGGAGAACGTGATGAGTGACCCGGCAGCCAGAGCCTACGTGGAAGTTTGGTTCTGAGAAGCAGAGCGTGTGGCGCTGGGTGAACACTCACCAGAAAAGCTATATTTGCAGGAACTCATCTGTTGGTGTTGGCCAGGGTGAGCGAGGCATTGTATTGGAACTTGCCTNGGCCAAGGGCTGGGAAGGGGCTGAATCCTTGTATCCACGGTCAAGGAGCTGGGAAGCAAAGTGGCAGAAATCAGGACTCACCCCAGATGGAACACTAGGCTCAGTGCCACTGTGCTAGGGTTCCCTGAGAACGTGGGGAGGCTCACTGTTGAAGAGCCATGACTTCAACCCTCTGCCCTGTCACTGGTGTGCTTTGTCATGAGGGAGCCCGTCGTCCCAGTATGGGGAGGTGACAGCCACGGTCCAGCCTCAGGGACAGGGAGGGAAGCAAGCTGACGCATCTCAGGTGCCAGAGGCCCCCCATGGCCAAGCAGCACCAGACAGGTGGCAGCCTGGGCCCCGGCCCTGGCCCCTGCCCTGCTTTCTGGGGTGAGCTGGGGAGTTTCTTACCCGAGTGAGTTTCCCCATTGATAGGATGGGGAATATTTTAATTGTGGAGATAACTTGTACTTAACCATTAAGGAAGAAAAAGATTACAACCAATGCAAACGGGTGTGGGGAAAAGGCTGGAGGGGGTGGGTCCAATTTAGCTGTGGGGTTTGGATTATCTTGTTTCTAAATACCTGATAACAAGCACCTGTATCATCAACTTCACCATCCAGGGCTAGTGTCACTGTTCCCACTGGAAAACTAAGCTATTTCTCCCTCTTAAAGCAGAGCAGCTCCCCTGCTCCCGTGTCCTCTGCAGCCCGCACCCCAGAACTCAGTGGAGAAACAGGCTGTGTGCTTCTGGTTCTCGCCAGCCTGCGTCGGGACTGGTTTTGTCTCCACAACTCGGGCCAAACTACAAGTATTAAGGTCCCCAGTTGGCCCCCATGTTGCTAAGCCCTCCGTCCTTATTGCCCTTTATCCCAATCAAGCCCCTGGAAACATGAACAATGCACAAAGGACACCCGTGCAGACCCGAGTGCATTGTTTGCACCTTTGCTTGCTCTCTCTCGCGTATAAAAGCCATCTCAACATCAGGTGCAGATCTCATGACACCCCTAAATACTTGACAGCTTGCCCATCTAAGAAGAGCAACATTTCGCAGGGCCCAATGCCAGCATCATGCTCCAAATGAACGACTGTTCCATAACGCTGTCTAGTCATAACATACTCTAATTTCCCCAACTGCTCCGCAAATGTCTTTTTATACCTATTTTTATTTTGCATTGCATTTAGTTGTTTCCTATGGTCTTTTAACATCTAGAACAGGATCAGGGTGGTGGTCAGTGGGTCGAGGGGAATTCCCGATATACTTTGGAGAGCCAACAGGATTGGCTCAAGGGTTGGATGTGGGGCATGAGAGGCAGGGAGGCGTCCAGGTCTGAGCCGTGTGCCTGGAAGCACCGAGCTGCCTTGACTGAGACCGAGAAGGCAGGCAGGTGGGGAGATGGGACTGGAAGAGGTAGGGGTGTCGGATCCCCATTCAGTACACAGTAGGTGGAGATGTGTGTTAGATACCTAAATGTGGGTCTGCAGTTTAGGGGGGTCAGCACAGTCAAGCCATGCGCCCCGAAATGAGACCCCTGAGGGGGAAGAATAGACAGAAAAGGGAAGCGGTTTAGAGACCCAGAGAGGAGAAGCCAGGTGAGGAGGGGGTACCTGCTGGCCGGGGTACCTAAGCCAGGTGAAAACAGGGTTTTGGGGAGGACGGAGCATCAGCTAGTCAAACCCTCCAGACATCTCGCACAGAAAAGGGAACTTAAACTTAAAGCCCGTACCAGGACCTGCACGCGGAACTCAACGTTCTCCTCCCCTGGCCTGTGGCAACGCAGGCGGCACCTGCCACCCCCGTCCAGGGGAGACCTCAGCAAAGACTCAAGGACCTCCCTGGAGACGAGACACGGATAACCCCACACTTGTGGTGTGGGCTGGAGTCCCATTGGCAGAGGACCCATCGGCCTGTCACTTGTCCCTGTCACTTGGAACATCCGAGTCCCTTCTGTGTCTCTTGCTTTGATGGATAACACGGATGAGCCCCGGAAGGGCATGCGCATGGCCTAACGCTTACAGAGCCTACACGTGTGGATTGTAACGACAGTGGGGGAACCCGAAACCGTCCTCTCCCTAAAACCACCTCACGGGCAGGGGTCAGGGGGAGAAAGTTAAGTTCTTAATGCTTCACATGTATCTTACTAACAGGCACTTCAAACAGCCTTTTGAAGTAGGAACTTATGACCGTTCCTCTTCCCACCCCAAGGCAACCCTCAAAGGGTTCTGAGCTGCGTCAAAGCCTGTAATTCCCATCAGTTAAGGACCACGGGGGGGCGGGGGGTGGCCCCCAGGCTCAGGCTGGTGAACACGCGCCTCCCTCCCCTGGGGGGTCCTCACAAGGGAGCCTCGTTTACACCTGTGATTCTATTGTCCAGAGCAGCAGTCACCGCCCGGGTCTCCCCTGAACGCCCCCTCCCGCCCTCACCTTTCTCCTCAGCACACCCCATTATCCGCCACCTCATACAATGACTTTACCCGTCGCCCCTGAAGTATCAACTCGATGAGGGCACTGTTGTGTTTTCTTCACCGCTTGTGCTCCGCACCTGCTAGGCGCGCAGTCCTTTCAGAACGAACGTGGTCCCGCCAGCATCCACCTGGGGTCTGAGCCCCCAAAGCACCGAATTATTGCCGGTCTGTTCCTGTCGCCCCTAGTTATTGAGCGCCTACTGTGTGGGGGGCGCTATGCTGGGGTGAAGGCGCAGAGGCCGGGACTCGGGGTGACTGGCGCCGCTCCCACCTCGGGTCAGAGGTCGGGGGGCCTAAAGGCCGAACCCACCCGCGCACCTACGCCCGCGGCCGCCCGCGGTGCACAGTGCTTTGCGCCCCGCCCCGCCCGCCGGTTCCGGCGGTTCCAGGCCCGGCTAATCGAGCGCCGCAGGCTGTCGGCTCGGGGCTCGGCGCTCGGCCGGCGGCGCCTGCGCACGTGGTGTTTCCGGCAAGCGCAGCGCGGCTCGGTTGGGGTCGCGCGGGCCCGGGGCTGTGTGTTCTTGTGTCGGGGGAGGCCAGTGCGAGCTTCGGACGCTGCGTCCAGGCCCCCACCCCACCCCCCCGCGCCCCGCGAGCCTCCAGCCATGGCTTCTCTGCTCGCCAAAGATGACTACCTGCAGAGCCTGGCCAGGAAAATCTGCTCCCAGCCCAGCGCGGAGCCGCAGAAGCGCAAACCGGGTAAAGCACTGCCCTGGGCCGTGACTGGGAGGGCTTCGGGAGGGGGCGCCTCCGCTCCCTGCCGCTGCGGGTGTTACCCCGCACTGCGCTCGGAGGAACGTCCGGGTGGACCAGACACGTGGATGCTTGAAACAGGCACGGAAAATACTAGAAGAAATGGAAGTGAGGTTTAAAGTCACCGGTGTTCCCTGCTTGTTGGGGGCATCAGGCTGGGGTTTGGACGAGGTGACCCCGTGGAATGGGGAAGGTAGAGAAAAGAAGACGACGGTGCCAGTAGTGTGGGTTTACATGGCAGGGGTGACAAGGCTGCCCTCAGGAAGTAGATACACAGCAGGTGAAACAAACTGGCCTGCGGACTTGTAAGTACTGCCTGAGCCAGGGGGAGGGCGAGCAGCAGGTTTTGGCGTGGACCTAGCAGAGGAAAAACGACTTTTTCTTTTTATACAAGAAAAATACATTCATTATAGAAAATTAGAAAAAGTGAAGTTTCAAATTAATCAGTTACAAGTTAGGTCTGTGTATTTCTAGTCCTTTTTCTATGAATAACACTCACTTATTGAAACAACTTGGTTCCTATGCTATATACTCATTTTTTCCCCCATTTAAAATGTAAACATATTCCCTAGCCCCTAAAATGAAAGCCCGTGTCATTATTTTTTATGGTTACATAGTTAGTTGTATAGCAGTGTCATAATTTGTTCCGGTAGATGGATATTCAGGTTTTCCTAGTTTTTCACTCAATGCTGTGATGAATATCCTTGAGGCCAAATCTTTGTGCATATCCAGGATGAATTTTCACAGCGGACTGCTGGGTCAAGTGTGTGGCTGTGTATCAGGGTTCTGATGTGTGTGACCAGTCTGCTTTCTCTAGGAAGTTTGTGGTTCTGAGCCCTGTGGATAAGGTTCTGAGCTCGTAATTCACTTTCGGCATCCTTCTGGGATTGAAGCATTTGCAGGACCTCCTGCCTGTTGAATGGATCAATTAGGGTGACAGCCCTTTCTCATCTTGTATTTCAGCTGGCAAAACTCAAGGGTCAGAAGCTGCTGGACCCCCCAAAAAGAAGAGGAAGAGAGCACAGAAGAAATCCCGGGAGCGGGAGGAGAAGGCTGCAGAGCCCAAGGCCCAGGCCCTGGGGGAGAAGTCTCTGGCAGCTTCCAGGGCCAGGAAGCCAGGCACAGCCAAGGAGGAGAAGGCCTCCATCTCCACAGGGGCCCCTACCGGTGAGCCACTCCGGGATGCTGGGCCGGGCTAGCTGGGATCCGTGCAAACGTGGTCCTCTCTAATCATAAGAAAAGAACTGTCAGGCACATTGGGATAATGGGAGCCTTCCCAAAGAGTGAGATTTCAGAGGACAGCTCACAGGGGCTTTGTGGGTGGATGGGATCCCAGGAAGGGCATGGTGGTTCCAGGCCAGATGGTTCCAGGATGTGGCAAGGGGCAAGGCCATGAGGATCTGGAGCAGCTTGGCTTGGGAAACGTCACTGCCCTCAAGTTTCTGAAGAGACGTCGTGAGAGCTGACTTGTTCAGGGGGACCACAAGCTGCAGAAGTTGAAGAAATAGGAGATGGGTTTGGCTTGGCCTGTAGGACGTGTTTTATCACAACACCAGGCTGTGGAACTGCTCTGCAGCCTCACCAGTGGCCACCAGGAGGAGGGCGGTGCATGGAGACTCAGGCTTTGATGCTGGGCTCCAGGGAGCCAACACAAAGGCCAGAGAGGAAATCTTTCAGTCCTCTGATTCCTTGCTTGCAGATGGGCTGACTACAGAGCCTGACTCCTTCTTTGCCCTGGACGTCCTGCGGCAGCGACTGCACGAGAAGATACAGGAGGCCCGGGGCCAGGTAGGTGGGGGAGCCCCTGGGGTGCCGGGAGCTGCGTGTTTGCCACAGTGGTTTCCCCTCTCTGCCTGGAGAGGAGGCCTTGGTGCTCTCTGCAGGGTTGGCTCCCAGCCCTGCCGGCCACTGTTCCCACCCTTGCAACGGGTCCTGCCAGGGCCTCAGCAGCTCTGTTCTGTAGTAAATCAGGTGTAGTTCTCATCTCGGGGAGCCTCAGTCCCCAGGGTCACCCGCTTTTGCTGGCCTAGGAGAGAGGCTCAGCCTCCTCCCTCTGGGAAACCACTTTTTGCCGAAAACCACACTGGATGGCACTTCTGTCCATCTATATGTCACGACAGCCCTATGAGGTAAGCAAGGACCTGGGATGAGGTGACCTGCCCAAGGTGACAGCCACAACACTGAGACCTGAACCAGCCTCAGCTTTTTGTCCAAATGGCGCTGGCCCCCCTCTAACTAGGCCACCACCCCTCTTTCCCCTCCTTCAGGCCTCTTGCTGTGTGCGGACAGTACCTCAGCATCTTTCCACGCTTGGACAAGCCTGGGGGCTGGTTCCTAAGAGGTGACCCACGTTTGGGCCTTGGCTTCCTGTAGCGCAGGTCCGAGCCCTCCTGTTGGCCCCGGGTGGGAAAGGCTGTTGGTGAAGAAGTGCTTGGCCATGTCACTGCAGAATAGTGCTGTGGTCAACACAGGCGCTGATTCATCGTGACCCAACGCCAAGTTCTGTGTGGTGGCCTTGGCTAAGCCACCTGGCCCTCAAGTCTGTCAAGTGGTGGAGGTCAACATCTCCTGTATTTGATCACTGAGAAGATTTAGTAAAACTGTGTTTGTAGAGTGTCCGGGCACATGGTCAGACTTGGGGGTCCCCTTGTCCCTTTTGGGGTCACTTGCATTCTGGGTGATAGGTCATCAGAGTGGAACGCTGAACTCAGTGGGCCCCTTGTCCTACACAAGGATTTTGTCACGTGCCTTCCTGACCTGGTGCCACGTACTGGGCGGGACCGAAGTTGGGAGAACCTTACAGCGTCAACACGCTTCGTCTCCAGGGCAGCGCCAAGGAGCTGTCTCCTGCCACTTTGGAGAAGAGGCGGCGGCGGAAGCAGGAGCGGGACCGAAAGAAAAGGAAGCGTAAGGAGCTGAGAGCACAAGCGAAGGCGGCAAAGGCAGCTGAGGCCGCGGGGGCTGCCACGCCCCCCCCTGAGGCGCCCGTCGGAGAGGCGCAGGCTCAGCCAGCGCTGCTCTTCAATAAGGTGAGGGTCCCGGGTCAGCTGCGGGCACTGGGCTCCTGGCTCTGCCCCCACTTGGGCCCCTGGCGCGGCCACCCATCTGAGAAGTGGGGGCCGTAATGGTGCCTGTCCGCGGGGCTGGCGAGCGCAGAGCTAGAGGTGACGTGCGCTGCCTGTCTCCCTCTGAGGTGGAAGTGAGCGCAGAGGAGCCGGCCAGCAAGGCCCAGCGCAGGAAGGAGAAGCGGCGGAAGCTGAAGGGGAACCTGACGCCGCTGACGGGGAAGAACTACCGGCAGCTGCTGGAGCGGCTGCAGGCGCGGCAGAGCCAGCTGGAGGAGCTGCGCGCGCAGGACGCGGGCAAGGCCCGTGAGCTGGAGACCAAGACGCAGTGGACCAACGTGCTGTACAAGGCCGAGGGCGTGAAGATCCGCGACGACGAGCGCCTGCTGCGGGAGGCCCTGAAACGCAAGGAGAAGCGCCGGGCGCAGCGGCAGCGCCAGTGGGAGAAGCGCACGGCCCACGTGGTGGACAAGATGCAGCGGCGGCAGGACCAGCGGCGCCAGAACCTGCGCAAGAAGAAAGTGGCCAAGGTCGAGCGGCGCCTGGAGAAGGCCCGCAAGAAGGGCCGCATCCTGCCCCAGGACCTGGAGCGGGCCGGCCTGGCGTGACACCGCGGCTGGGCGCCCTTGCACCTGGGGCCGCGCCTCCATCGAGGCTTGAGGAGCGCCTCGCGTCATGTGACGTGGGAAGTCCCCAGTCTGTGCAGACTCCGGCTTCTCCATGTAAAGTGCACGCTGTCACACTCAGGCTTATTGAGAGGGCTCAGGTCATGCGTACAAAAGAGAACATTCTTGACAATGGGGGCCCCGATCTTTCAGACCCAGGGAAGGGGTGAATGAGAGCTGGGCTCTAGCATTCTCTTCAGAGGCTAGAAAGCTCCCCAGAAGTTTGCAGNAAGAGAACCTATCCATTTCGATTTCAGAGCAACCATCATGCTTAATGGGGAAACACCAGAAGTATTCCCATTGGAACCAGAAGCAAAGACAAAGGTGCCCATTCTCAACCATTAACACCTTTGTTCTGGAGGTACCAGCTAATGCAAAATCCGGGACAGATGTGAGGCTGGAGAGCCTGAGGGTGGGGCCACACTCGCTCTGTCAGGGGACCTGTGGGAGTGAGTCTCCGACACCTGCAGCTTTTACAGTTGAAGGCAGTCTGCCGAATTAGGTGAGGAATTCTCTAAACACAGGAATGACCTTTAGATGTTAGGCAGCCACAATGTGACGGCAGAAGTCCACTCTGTCTGAGGTCTGGGGAATAAGATCCCTCCCAGGAAGGGGCAGTGGGTCCCAAGGATGACGGTGAGGCAAGGGTCCCAGGCTGGGATGAGAGAACAGGAGGCGCCAGCGGCATGTCTCCAAGAAAAGAAAATGGTACTGACTGGTTCACCGGATTGAGAGGAAAGCTAAACTTCCGGCAGTGAGCCTTGGGGTGAATTAGTGATAAATGCACAGAAAACAAAAACATGGGAAAAAAATGTTACAAACTCCATGAAAAGTTATCTACAATTGTATTAGAAAGAAACATACTCTGTGAAAATATTTGACTTGTCATAATAATATAAATACTAACTATTGACCCAAAACATGGAGCATGGCAGAGAGAGATAAACCCTTAACTTTAGAGGATGGCATTGGATGATCTAAAATAAGCTTAAAGACGCAAGCTCTGAGCAACAAGGCTGCCAGTTCGATTCCCACATGGGCCAGTGACGCTGCACCCGAGCTAGCTGCCACTGAGCGGCCAACAGGTGGCAGGATGGCTCAGCTGGTGAGAGCACGTGCTCCCAACAACAAGATGGTGGGTTACGCCCATCCGCAACTAAGACTGAACTTGGCACCTTGAGCTGAGCTGCTGCCCGGATGGTTCAGGGGATAGAGCGTGTGCTCTTAACAACAAGGCTGCTGGTTCAACTCCCGCATGGGATGGTGGCTACGCCCACCTGCAACTAAGGTTGAACACAGCATCTTGAGCTTAGAGGCCACGAGCTGCCGACGGAAAGCCAGATGGTGACTGGCGCCCTCCACAACAAGGACTGAAGAACAACAACTTCGCTGGTCCCCTTCCCTAATTCCCCAATACTGTTCCCTCCCCCCATCCTCAATTAAAAATAAAATAAAATAAGCTCAAAGAATACTAACGTATTTTCACTGTACACCCTTTGGAATTTTGAAGCATATGTTAACCACCTATTCAAAAGTACATAAAGGAAGAGAGAGAGAGACAATATGTAAAGCATGGATGCAGATAATCAGGAACAAAGTTGAAGGCTGTTTTTGGGGGGTGGGACTTGCAAATCTCTTATCTTCTTGGGTTGACATGTGTTTAATAATGAGCATATTACCTTTATAGTTCTAAAAGTATTAAAGTCACAGGTTAAATGTTACCCATTTATCACTCATCTATGGGGTAAAGTACATTATTTGGTTTTTATGTTTAAAGGATTTATCACAAGGACAATAAACATTTATTCCAGTAAAANGTGAGCGGCCATCCAGAAGCCAGTGACTGATGTGCCTCGCCCAGGAAGAGCGCAATGATGGTGCCAACTTGGGACAGTAAAGCCACATCCTCCACAACTAGACTGAAGAACAAAACGACAGCAACTTGTCTGTTCCCCTTCCCCCATTCCCCAGCACTGTTCCCATCCCCCCAATATCCCAATAAAAATCTTTAAAAAAAAAAAAAGGCAACAAGCCATTCTGAACATACAGAAACTCAGGAATATTGTTCCCACGAATCTTGAAGCTGCTTCTAGAGAACAAGCCTCAGCAGCCACACTTTAAGTGGACAAAGGACGACAGATTAGTGGTACCAGGACCCTATTTAAGTATAAAACCAGGTCAGAAACAAGGGTGAAGGCCAGAGTTCCAGAGTGTAAATACAAATTATGTAACTCATAATTATGTAAATAGAACTTATATAATTCTCACAACAATTGAGAAAGGGAAGAGAAAAAATGAGGTATTAAAGTAAGGGATTTCTTCATCTTTATAGATAGGAATAAATGATATCATTTAAAGATGAAAATTCAAGTGCTGGAGATGTAAGTATTCACAGTAAATGTTTAGAAGCATAATAATGTTGATTAAATTAGGCAAGGATTAAAAAGGAAGGGGGAAGCATAAAGGAGGAAATTAATCACATTACTCAAAACAGTTACTATACATTGCTTAAGTAAGTAGAGGGTGAAAGGTACTACATGAAATTACAGTTATAAAAATTTTCCACAGGATAAAAATCCAAATCTTTCAAATTCTTGAAGAAAACACACAAAACAAAGGGAACAAACCACACAGTCAAAGATCTTTCAAAGTTATAACAAGAAACACAAGTCACTCCATCGAACAAAGAATAAAGATCATCTTAGCGATAACTGAAAATTTGTTCCATTTCCTTGTTAAAGAAAACGTTTCAAACTGGATCACAAAGCAAGGCTGAACTCGGTAATACAAGTAAGAAACACACTTTCAAAAGATGTGATACACATATGAGGGCCAGTGACGCTGCCCTCTACAACTAAGATGCTGAACAACAGCTCGACCTGGAGCTGGGCTGCCTTGGGTCGCCAGCGACAGCGTAGGCTGCAGTCCCCTGCTGCAGTGGGTTGCCATNTAGAGATCCCCTGAGAAGAAAACAAATATAGGAATAGAAAATAAAATAGAATCCAAGAAACCTTTGTAGGAATTAAACACACGACTCTCCGGACTGAACATCCACAAGTGCCATGAAAAACAATTCATCCTGAATGTTCCACACTGAGATCTAACCTAGTAAGTTTTACTGGCCTTCAAAATAAGATAGAAAAAAAATCCTTAGGCAACCATGCAAAAATGTCAAATTATGTATAAAGGAAAAAAGTCACACTGGCACCATACTTTCTCACAGTAACGCCCAACCTTAGAAGCTATAGGCAATGCCTCCACCAAATATCTGAAGAAAGTGTGACCCAGAAATTTTTACACTGTGCCAAACTCTCAGTCAAGTATGAGATCTGACAAGTAAGCCAACTTTCCACCATGCATTTACATTGGCAGCACTGTACAAACAGCTCATCAAGGTTTCATAACCTTGGTATATCAGTGTCTCACAGCTGTGTTCATGTCAACATGTGGCGGTGTCTTGTTGAGTGGTCATTATTGTGTGTTTTTGTGTGCCGTAGCGAGAATATCTGAGCTTGAATTAGAGCAATGAACAACCATTAAATTTTTTGTTAAACTTGGCAAGAGTGGAAGTGAAATCAGGGACATGTTAGTCCAAGTTTATGGGGATAATGGCATGAAGAAAATGGCAGCATACAAATGGAGAGAACACGTCACTGATGAAGATAGGTCAGAGCAGCCAGTAATGAGCAGAACTGATGAAAACATTGCAAAAATTCGTCAAAATTGTGTGTCAAAATTGTCAGCTGACTGAAAAGCATAGCAGACCAAGTAAGACTATCGAAGACCAAGTTTTTAATAGAAAAACAGTTAGGATAATCTTAACTGAAAATCTTGGCATGAGAAAGGTGTGTACAAAAATGGTCCCGAAGGAGCTCACTGATGAACAAAAGCAAAGGAGAGTCTTAAGTTTGCCAAGACCTTTTGGAGAGGCAAGATGATATTTGGGCCATGTTATCACTGGTGATGAAACATGGGTGTACCAATACAACCCTGAAACAAAGTGTCAAAGTGCACAATGGAAGTCACAACCAATTCTCCACAACCAAAAAAATTAACGTCAGTCAAAATCAAGAGACAAAAATGATGTTGGGCTGGCTGAGTGGCTTGTTGGTTAAGAGTTGGCTTGGAAGCGCCAGCTCTTAGCAGGGCCACTGGTTTGGATCCCACATGGGCCAGTGATGCTGCGCCCTCTACAGCTAAGATGGTGAACAACAGCTCAACCTGGAGCTGGGCTCCCGTGAGTCACCGGTGATGGCGTAGGCTGCAGTGGGGCTGCAGTAGGCTTCCGTGAGCTACCATGAGTGGCCAGCAGCCAGCGTGAGTGGCCGGCAGCCGGTGTGCACTGCCATCCAATGGCCGGCAACTGATCTACCTCGGCCGGAAAGAGCGCAATGATCACAATGCCAACATGGGCCAGTGAAGTGACGTCCTCCGCAACTATTGGGTTGTCAGAAAAGTCATGACACATGTTTGCAACAGATGGCACTACTTCATTTTTGGAAGTACTAGACTCATTCGCATCTATGTTATTCCTATGTCATTTGACAGCTCT